ATCTAGGCATGCCACCACACCCACTGGTCCACAACAAGCATTTAACTAGAACTTTAACCAACGGCAGCACCACAACGGGCCAGAATGACGAGGATGACTGGGTAGCCATGATCACGATCAAACTCGGTAACCCAACATACACTCTCCGAAAACGCCCTCACCATCACCATCACCCTTACCACAACCACCGCGACGACCACAACGACAAGAACAACCACCGGTTAGGAAACTTCCGATGTCCCGTCGCTGCCGCTACCACCACTCACCACCTTCTCCATCACCACTTCCACAACATTCCCGACGACGGCGACGACTGCCACCTCTCCCACTCCCAGCACCGGCGAGAACGCTCCCAACGGCGCGCTAATCACCACCACCATCATCACTGTACCAACCACCAGCAACGCGGAATCAATTCTAACCTGTCTCCATTGCTATCGCACCTACACCTGCCGCATCGGCATGGCCGGTCACTTCTTAATCCGTCGCGCTGAGACCAGCGAACCAGCGTCTGGAGTCCCAACATACATCCGTCATGCAGGCTTCACCTGTCCAAATTGCACAGGACATTTATACGCCGCATGGGTTTTTTGGCCATATATTCATCACAGCGTCGCCACAAACAACCCAAACTCCACACCCAAAAGCTCTCTAACTACCAGTGTCACCGCTGCCAACTCGGTAAGCACAATCCCATCTTGTCTTTATACGACCGTACATCTAAACCACACAATGATCCTGTCGGTCACTTGCGAGTCCATCAAAATGAGACTGCTGAACCAGTGCTAAGAGCCCCGACAAACAAATGTCGATACCTCCTCACTTTCTCACGCTGTCCCAGGAAATCCGGTCGTCGCACGGGTCTATTCGGCCATACGCACCTTCATTAAAATCTTAGGTGAAAAATAGCGGTTCGGATCCCATCGAAACACCTCGCCATACCTGCCGGCAGACACCTCACAAGGCTACATTTTTTGCCTACTACACAGCTCTCACATCACGCGACCCACGTGACACCATACCTCTCTTCTGCAACCAGTATGAAATCTTCCTTAATATCCCCGCTATGGTCGGCGAAATGTCGCATATCAATACATTGGTAGGGGACGCTCACCGATCGTTCTTACGGGACTAACTCGTTCCGTTTTGCCTTACGGACTCTCTCTCGAGCCCAACCAGCAGCCGCACAGCGGTGCATGATATAGGCAGAGTGGTATTACTCTGTCTTTGTCAGTAATACCATTCTGCCTATATCATGCGCCGCTGTGCGGCTGCTGGTTGGGCTCGAGAGAGAGAGAGAGAGAGCCCGTAGGGCACAACGGAACGAGTGAGTTCCGCAAGAACGATCGGTGAGCGCCCCCTACCATTGTATACTCCCGATCAAAACCGACAGGGCAACGGGCTCGTGGCCCGGTGGGTAGAGGCGCGGACTTCCAACTAACAGGTCGCGAGTTCGAGCCTCGGGTGTTCCAGACTTCGGGGTCGGGTATGACTGGCTGACGACGGCTAACAAGCCGGGAATGGCCATTCCAGTCTCACTTGTCTTTGTCGGTAATACCATTCTGTCTATATCAATACATGTACATCTCACATACAAGGGGAGCCTGCCCTTCGATGTAGCCTGGTACACTTAGCGAGGCCCAGGTCGTGTCGACACACATAGACAAACTGCTTAAATCTGTCAGTTACTGCTTCCTCGTCCGCCTCTGGTCGTCTTGCCATGGCAGTGATGTGGGTTAGAGAAGACAGAATGCGCGAGATGGCGCGCAAGTCCACTTCAATGAATACCGACACTTCGACCGTAGCGAACGGCGAAGTCCACCGCATGCTGCATGTAGGAGACGCAGCGTCAGTGACTTGCGCGCAAATTATAGTTTTTAGTAAGGCAGACTAACTCAGCTTCTACCGCACCCTCTCCTCCTTCGCCCACCAGGGCCTGACGGCAAGACCAGAGGTGCGATCAGGAACGGTAATTAACGAAACTATACAGCCCGTCTGCGTGTACCACACACGACCTAAACCCCGTGGAATGTACCAGGCTTTCGGTATAGCGGCTCGGATCCCACATGCATGGGAGTATCATGTAGGTCGCATTAAAAATGAGTCATTGGAACTTTTCTTGCGATCCTTCAGTTACTCCGAAGTCCGAGTTACCCCGTTCGTTGACAATCCTTCAAGCCACATCTCTTAGCACATCAGAATTAGCATAATGAGGAATGCACCGTTTGGGCGTGCGGAGGCGTTCCCCAGTGTCGGTCTCATTTTATTTTCCCTTCCCATGCACAAGCGGACCGTCCAATCCTGTCAACCGACCGGGGATAGAGCTGGGCGCCATGGCTGACACGCTGTGAAGGTCTACATCAACAGCGCGCCACCACACCCCTCCTATATACGGGAATAAGCATGGACTCACATGGGCTCTGCGATCGCACCTGCGCCTCCCGCATCGGCAGTGTTGATCACTTGTGAGTTTATTGCACTGAGACCGCTGCGCTCGTCTCATCTGTCCGCAGAGTCCGCCTTGATTCAGACACCGCATGGGTCTATTCGATCACGGTATATTAATGGTAGCGGAAATCACCACAATGTAGGCATGCCGCACCCACCTTTCATATCTGACAACTCCTTCATCTCCAGCGCTACCTATCCCCGCTCAGCCAGCGTCGCCACCAGTGACGGCAGCGGCATCGTCACCACAATCATCCTCATTTCAGTAATTAACAAATTGCATGCCCGTCATCGAGCATTCAGCGCACCAGTGGGAAACAATCCTCGATGAAGGGGAAAGCCGTTAATTATCATAGGCATGCAGTAGCATAGCGACTACATCCAATAAATACTGTAACCTCTTACGCATGAGCTACCCGTATCTGATACCATCTGCGATAATGGGTTCGAGCGTGAATCCGAAACGTTAGGCGAATAAAGCCCTTGTTACAGCGGTCGCGCCTAAGTCTTACAGACTACTTCCTAGAACCCCCATCCTCGCTTGCGTCGGCAATCATCATCATCATCATCATCATCATCATCATCATCATCATCATCATCATCATCATCATCATCATCATCATCATCATCATCATCATCATCATCATTTGAACTCGGATCTAATGATACTAAAGATTTCTGGAAACATGAAAACGCGAAATAAGCTCAATAACTACATGGAAATATCGCTAATACGAATGAACACGACAACCCAAGTAGATGCAGCACATTGTCATGTTCAGTTATAACAGCAGAAGGGAGGGACAGCAGACAATACGGGTGGATCCATACTTGGCCAACATAGGCCTGACAGTTAGTTGCCTGTGCGTGACCTTTGCCGTCCGTACAGAGCATGTTTGTTTCGGGAAGGCGATGGATAAGTGTGTGTCCCTTCCTGATTGAATACCGATTTATTTCAGACAATAAAAAGTAGAAACTTTCACAGAAGGAATTTTCCAAAATCTACCCAAGCAAGTCACCATCTCGTGTGCCAATCTTTCAATAGACGAGAATCTACAAATATGAGCAAGGATTAACCTTAAGGAACTCTGGATTCGCTCCCGACATCCCTTCGGTCAGAAAAGCGTTCCTCTGGCATGCGAATTTTCTCTAAGCTAAACATTCTCCCAGTAGACGTGATTCTCGCCTACAGAATAAGGTCCTTTTTGTACACAGGTTCCTCTTTTGTTGTGCATGAATATCAGTTCAGCAACCGGCTCAAGTAATCTTTGGGTCATTCCTTTACCTTCGCTCGGGTTCATCCATTCATTTGTCTGCCTCTCAGGCAAAGCCTTCGTCGATGGGGTCATTACCCTTCTATGCCATAACAATCAACCATAAGATCAAGTGCGACTAACCACAGCGAACTCCAACCATCAGTCGCGACTTAAGATCAAGTCACATCAAAGTCGAGGGTCAGACCAGCACACCTCACGGGTCCAGGCCCCTCTACAAACATGGAGTTCGCCCAGATCGTACCTCTAGGATATCCCCTCCCCCTTACCCCCTCTTTACTAGCTAGTTTGTCCACTTTCCACTCTTCTCTTTTCCGCCACGGTCCCAAAATCCTACGGAGAGGGTGACATGCAATCACATAGACGGCTCAGGCCGATCGGGTCGTTTGCTCACCAACCCAATGCATGACCCATAGCGGAGAATGGCAGCCCTCTGGGACTACTAGGCAGCCCTATTTAGGCACGGCACTGTCTACCCGTTGGCGGAGAAGGGACTCGAAAGAGTGCCCTAAACAAATGCTGGGTTCAGGACACATGCGCGTAGACCGTGGCTCGCAGACTGCAATACCTGCGGTCGAAACTAACAAATAAGATACAATACTCCTCTCTCTCTCTTCGCCCTCCTCCTCCCCTCCATCCAACGCTACAGGCTACTAGGACGAGTCCGCTCACTCTGGCAACCTGGAATGTTCATTCCCCCTTGGATAAACCCAGCACCAACAGACCGGAACAGAGGACGGCGTCAGACGCTCGGGAAATGGCGCGCTAAAAGGTGGACATCGTTACACTCAGCGAGACCCGGTTCTCCGAACAAGGCCAACTGGAGGAGGTGGGTGTCCGCTACACCTTCCTCTGGAGCAGCCGCCCCAGGACAGAGCGACGAGACGCGGGCGTCTCCTGGGACGACTGCCCTGCCTTCCGCAGAGCTTCAGTGATTGCCTGATGAGCCTCCGCCCACCTCTTTGGTGACCCACCTCCGCCAACATCATCCGCGCCGACGCCCTACCAATCACCGACTTAGACGAGGCGAAGGCAAAGTTCTACAGAGACCCGCACGCCGTCTTGGCGTCTGTGCCTAAGGCGAATAAGTTGATGGTCCTTGATGGCTCCAATGCCCGCGTCGGGACAGACTGCGCTGTCTGGAGGTGAGTGGTGGGTGTTCACGGAATCGCCGGTTGAAACGACAATGGCCTCCTTATTCTGCGAACCTGCGCTGAACACCACCTCATCCTGACCAACGCCTTCATCCGCCTCCCGTTGGGGAAGAAGGCCACCCGGATGCACCCCCGGTCACGACACTCGCAGTTGTTGGACTATGTTCTCGTTCGGCAGCGAAATCGGCAAGACGTGATGATGATCAAGGCCATCTATGACGCCGATGGCTGGACGGATCAACGCCTCGTCATCCCCAAGATGAGGCCCGGTCTGCAACCCCGCAGGAGGCCACGAGATAAGCGACCACCAGGTAAACTGAATACAGATTTGTTGTCTTTGCCTGCTCACCACTTGCATTTCGGCAATCAACTGACATTGCGGCTGGAAGACCTGCCTATCGAAGATGAAAACGTCTCCGTGGAGACACAGTGGTGCCAATTGCAGGACGCCGTTCATTCAATCGCCCTGGGTGTCCTCGACCGCGCACGTCGTCAGCACCAGGACTTCTTCGACGACAACGACGCAGTCATCAACAACCTGCTCGCCGAGAAGAACAGGCTGCACAGAGCCTATCTCGACCGTCCGACCAATGCCGCCGTCTTGCGCAGCAACGATTGAGAAAAATGCAAGACGCCTGATGACTCGCAAGGCCGAGGAGACCCAGGGATGTGCCGACCGCAACGAATGGAGGACCTTCGTTGCGACCAAGGTGATCTACGCCCCCCCCCCCACCGAAGGAACTGAGCCACTTTTCGGCTCCAATGAATCAACGCTTCTGGCGGAGCAGTCGCGGATTCTGAAATGCTGGGCCGAGCACTTCAGAAACTTCCTCAAGCGTCCCTACGCTATCCCCGACGCCGCCATCGACCGGCTGCCCAAGTGGAAATCAACTTCGACCTGGATATCCCGGCCTCCCTCCCAGAAACTATCCGCGCAATGCAACAACCCTCCAGCGGGAAAGCACCAGGCTCCGATGCAATCTCAGCTGAAATCTGCGAGCACAGCAGCCGCCGCCTGACAGACCAACTCACTACGATATTTCAGGAGACGTGGCGCTGTGGACAAGCTCCTCGGGATTCCAAGGCCGCGACCATCTTTCACCTCTATAAGCGCAAAGAGAATCGGCAACTCTGTGACAAACACGGAGGCGTCTCGCTACTCAACATCACCTGAAAGATCTTCGTCTGCATCCTCCTCAATCGTCTCAATGGACACCTCGAACAAGGACTTCTGTCGGAAAGCCAACGTGGTTTTCGACGACATCGGGACACAACGGACATGGTCCTCGCCGCTCGTTAGCTACGGAAGAAGTTCCGGGAGATACGAATCCACCTCTACACTACCTTCGTGGACTTGACGAAAGCCTTCGATACGGCGAATTGCGAAGGGCGGTGGGAAATCATGCAGAAATTCCGCTGTCCTGAACGAATCACGCACATGGTACACCGCCTCCACGACGGGATGATGATGCGCGTCACGGAAAACGGCGCACTCTCCGAGGCACTCGCAGTGACCAATGAAAGGTTGCGTACTTGCTTCCATCCTCATCAGCCTCATATTCTTTGCCGTGCTGATGGACACCTGCCGTGATGAGCGCCCCGGGACTCGCATCGGCTATAGGACTGACGGGCATCTTCTCAACAGCAGGCGCATGTAGGCCCCCACGCCACTATGACTACCGTCCACGACCTGCTCTTCGTCGACGACTGCGCCTTCAGCACCGCGACTGAAGAAGACGTGCAACGAGGTGTGGAACTCCCCCACGGTTGGGCGTGCCAACTTCGGACTGACTATCGACATGGAAAAAACGGTGGTCATGCACCAACCGTCGCTTTATTCGCAACACAGCTCTCCTCTTCGAATTTATGTCGACGGTAAACAACTCAAAACCGCCTACTTGGGACGCACACTTTCCTGTAGTACAATAATTGACGACGAAGTGGCCCATCGGATCTCCAAAGCCGCGCGGAATCGTCACGGCCTCCAACTGAATGCCGAACTGAAGATATGTTTTATAGAAAACATGCAGAAAATACACTGTGAAAAAAGTATGCTACTTAAGTAGTCGTTTTTATCGAGTGTGATTTCTGCAGGAGGGCGAAAGGAAGCGCATTCAAGGACCGACATCCTGGCGAGTCCGAAATACTGTAGGATTATGTCTCATGGTAATCAATATTGCAACCCCTCTTAGATAATACTTTCCAATCGAAAATGAATTTCAGAATTTCGGCCAACATCTCATGAGATCGGTCACCCACTGTACAGGGCCGTCATCTTTACGACACCTCTCTAGTGAGCGCAGACCTTAACTGTCTACTCCAGCCATGCCGAGAAGGTCAATCATTTCCATATCAGCTGTCTTGGCAGAATATCAAGCTGAGAACAAAAACAGCACTACACGGAAGAACTCCGTGAAACGACTGCGGATCAACCCACGGGCCTGGGAGAACCTAGCTCAGAACAGACCGGCATGACGAAGAGAAGTGAAAACCGACGCAGCCATCTACGAAGCCAAACGGATCATCGACGTCGAAGCCAGAACGTAGGCTCGCAAGTCACAAGCGCCTCGACTCCTCCAAGCTAACAGTCAGCCACTTCCGACATGCCCGCGCTTCTACCGCGCATTTTGCACGCAAATCGGCCTAGTAGGACACTGTCGGACGCAATGCGCCAACAACCAGACAACGTCAACTCCTCCTCCCACTCTCGCCCCTGCCGCAAATCCCGTGACGACGGCTACCCCGTCACCGCCGATCACACTGTCGTTGCCAGTCGCCATCAGTCGCCGGCATCACCCGCCCTGTCCCAACCCCTGCTTCCACCACAACGACCAGCACCGCTAACACCACGCAGTCTCCCCACTGGTGGGACGACGCCTGACGTCCCACCACCTGCTACTATCACCATCAGCATACCTGCATTTAACAATGTGGACTCTGTCCATATTTGTACTCATTGCGGTCGCACATTTATATCACACATCGGCCTGGTCGATCACTTGCGAGTCCATCGCACAGAGACTGGCGAACCAGTGCCTGGTGCAGCAACCTACACTCGTCGCATCCGCCTCAACTGCCCTCACACATTCAGACACCCCATGGGCCTACTGGGTCACATGCACATTCATGAAAACCTGCGGCAGACAACCGCCGGTTACACTACACTATCACACTTTTCCCCACCAGCACTCGCACCACACCACCACACAAATCGCAACGCCATGCACTCAGATGCCACCTCGCCGCATGCGTGATCCGAGCCATAGACTATCACAATGCGCCAAGCGCCCTGGCTTCGAAGGTTGCCGACTGACGCCTCAAATCAGTCTGCCCAGTTGTGTGTGTTTGTGTTGAGTGACGGACTGGTGGGCTGATAGTCAGGCTGCAACGCCTCCTTCTTAACATGACCTCTGACACTCTCACGCATGTGAGGAGTGTATGTGCATACGGGTAGTGCCTCTTAGTCGACGACTGATTGGTTAACCGACCCAAGGGGGGTGATGGCGGAGGTTAATTGCAGGGCTGCGTGTCATCCATTTAGGCCTTAAAAACTGTGTGCGTCTACAATGCCATGATTTGCAAACGATGGCGCTCGCAGTCTGCTGTGCGCTGGCAGTTCTCTAGCACCTGGTTGCTTGCCGGTAGATGCGTTTCCATTCGCACCCGGTCATACAGGTCATGTGCATGATTTTCCACTCAGCCTCCTCTATCCGACTCCTTAGTGGTATGCCCAAGTACGGGTCCGGCCACGGAAGCAACCTGCTACCTCTCCTGCTTCCAATCTTCACGACTACGTCTTGACAGCGGGACCAGGTGGGAGAGAGTGCGGAAGATGCTGTGCAAGTCCACTAAACTAATCCACGTGCAAGATCGGTTAGTTTGCCCCCTGAATGCAGAATACGTTTTAGAGCCATCATAAGTATTCAGTCTACACTAGCTGATAAAGCAAGTTGTCAAATCCAAATTCAGTAGAAGTAGAATGCAGAAGACATCTTTTATTGGAGTGAAGTACATAATCTAACTCAGAGACAACCGGGCCGAATTGGTGTCTGTTGTAGGTTTCAGTTGGCAGTCAATATGGAAAATCCGAATTAACAAATGACATCAGACTCTCAACTGCGTCCGTCAAAAACATGAGCAGCGGCCTAGCGTGCTGCACCCAAGGAGGATAGCGTGTATAGTTTGTATCCGGATCTGCGTCACTTTGGCGGCGTGTGCAAGGTCAGGGGCGTTCGCATATCAGAAGAAATTGTGCCAACTTACTGACCCCATCCCGCCCAAGACTAGCCAACTATATCATGCTGACCAGGAGAATAAAGGTTATATACGAAGAAGGAGACAGGATCGCTGGACCAGGGGCTTCATTAATCTGGCGTTTCGGATTCGCACTTGAATCCATCATCAGAGACAGAGTCAGATAGGGATGTTAAATTGCTCAGATGTTGCAGTATTTATAGGATGTAATTGCTGGGCCGCTACATGCCTATCACAGTTGGCAGATTCCGAGTGCATCACGGCTCGTCTGATCGGGTGTTGAAGTATGCAATTGCCATGCGATTGCTATGCGAACGCTCCTGACCTTGCACACGCCGCCAAAGTGACGCAGATCCGGATACAAACTATACACGCTATCCTCCTTGGGTGCAGCACGCTAGGCCGCTGCTCATGTTTTTGACGGACGCAGTTGAGAGTCTGATGTCATTTGTTAATTCGGATTTTCCATATTGACTGCCAACTGAAACCTACAACAGACACCAATTCGGTCCAGTTGTCTCCGAGTTAGGTTATGTACTTCGCTCCAATAAAGAATGTCTTCTGCATTCTACTTCTACTGAATTTGGATTTGACAACTTGCTTTATCGGTTAGCGTAGGCAGAATACTTATGATGGCTCAAAAACACACTCCACTTTCAGGCGACAAAGTAACCAGACGATTTCAACCTTTGCTTCGCCACCGGATGGCTATCTCATCTTAACAACGGCTGTTTGAACCTCATAAGTATACCCAATCCTACTGTACTATCGAACCTCTGATGGTGATGCGTGGCTTTAATTTTTCTTCATTCACTCAGACTTCAACCACTTCTGTTTCTTCTGAATCCCTTCCCCAGTGCCTGAAGTGGCTAAAAGCAGTTATACAAGACGCAGCCTCTTCTTAACAACATCCCCTACGTTTTGCAGCTCAGCCCAGTGATCATCATGACGGGACAAAACTAATCCCTCTATTTCATTCCAGCTTAGCCGCCAGCTGCCGCGACATAACGTATATGGAGTTAGGATTAGCTCACAAGTTTCCTATATCAACAAATGTTGAGAGCAAAAAACACTACCTTTGGAAATATCCTTTTTACATGTCAGTGAGTTAAGAGGACTACGCACACATGGCCGACAAAGTGCCCTCATCAAATGTTGTTAACGCTATCCAAATGGTATTGTTTTATATGAAATTTGAACGGGAAACCGAAGTTTTCATTTAGCGTGCAGAGGGAAAACACGGGGACAAGTTTCTGAAAAGGACCACTGTGCTGTTATATCCACAACAGTTATGAACAGACCGTTCCGTCTTACAGATAGACGTCGTGCGAAGAAACCAGGTCGAAGACTTAGATTGGACAGTTTCATGTGCAGTCAAATTAAGTGGTATTACGCCTGCACTTCCAAGCTGGACCAGTCAAAGTGCGTCAAATCGAACGCAAACGAGACAACTCTTGCTGACAATCACACCACCGGTCGTATCCTACGCGGTTGTGCAAACAAGAGAGGCTTGCGTCCGCCTGTTGGCGTCCAACCCAGTATCGTAAATTCCATTATGGAGGATGGGAACAGAATCAGGCCATGACCTAAAGCAAATGGAATAAGCGACTATAAACAGCACAGAAGGCTAACGTGGCTACGAGACGTACGCATGCCGCCAGTTAGCCGATCAACGTGTACTGCGTAATCGAGGAAGCGTAGTGATCTTTCTTACCCGTGCAGCCGTGATAACGGCTGGCAGAAAATTTGCGGTTTTCCACGAGGAGTTGTGGAGCACGAAACAGTCAATTCGCGACCGCCCCTTCGAGGACCAGGGTGCTTTCCAAACGTTGTGAATTGAGTAAATAAACTGAGTTCCAAAACGTCAAATACCCCCTTTCTCAGACTGAGGGAGCAAAGCGGGTGCTCGCGGAATTAGCCTTTATTTCCTCTCTCTCT